CAGCACAGGACCAATCAGCGCTGTCGAGACAGAGGTTAGGGGTCCTGCATCCTCCTAGTGCAGAATGAAAACTCCTCCTACAAGCTTTAACCAGTGCTGTGCTGATGCTGATAGAAGTCACAAGACTGCTATATACTGCTGATGAAAAAAGGGATTTAGCAGTTTATATTTACTAAAATAATTGCATTTCCATGATATAGTGAATGCAGGGGTCTGGGGAGAGTGGATATAGCGAATGCAGGGTCTGGGAGAGCGAATATAGTGAATGCAGGGTCCGGGGAGAGCAGATATAGTGAATGCGGGGTCCCGGGGAGAGCGGATATAGTGAATGCGGGGTCCGGGGAGAGCGGATATAGGGAATGCGGGGTCTGGGGAGAGCGGATATAGTGAATGCAGGGTCCGGGGAGAGCGGATATAGTAGTAAATGCGGGGTCCGGGGAGAGCGGATATAGTAAATGCGGGGTCCGGGGAGACCGGATATAGTGAATGCGGGGTCCGGGGAGACCGGATATAGTGAATGCGGGGTCCGGGGAGAGCGGATATAGTGAATGCGGGGGTACGGGAGAGCGGATATAGTGAATGCAGGGTCCGGGGAGAGTGGATATAGTGAATGCGGGGCCCGGGAGAGCGGATATAGTGAATGCAGGGTCCGGGGAGACCGGATATAGTGAATGCGGGGTCCGGGGAGAGCGGATATAGTGAATGCGGGGTCCGGGGAGAGCGGATATAGTGAATGCAGGGTCCGGGGAGAGCGGATATTGTAAATGCGGGGTCTGGGGGAAGCGGATATAGTGAATGCGGGGTCCGGGGAGAGCGGATATAGTGAATGCGGGGTCCAGGGAGACTAGATATAGTGAATGCGGGGTCCAGGGAGAGCGGACATAGTGAATGCGGGGCCCGGGGAGAGCAGATATAGTGAATGCAGGGTCCGGGGAGAGAGCGGATATAGTGAATGCGGAGTCCGGGGAGAGCGGATATAGTGAATGCGGGGTCCGGGGAAAGCGGATATAGTGAATGCGGGGCCCGGGGAGAGCGGATATGGTGAATGCGGGGTCCGGGGAGAGCGGATATAGTGAATGCGGGGTCCGGGGAGAGCGGATATGGTGAATGCGGGGTCCGGGGAGAGCGGATATATGGTGAATGCGGGGTCCGGGGGAGAGCGGATATAGTGAATGCGGGGTCCGGGGAGAGCGGATATAGTGAATGCGGGGTCCGGGGGGAAGGGAAAGCGGATATAGTGAATGCGGGGCCCGGGGAGAGCGAATATGGTGAATGCGGGGTCCGGGGAGAGCGGATATAGTGAATGCGGGGTCCGGGGAGAGCGGATATGGTGAATGCGGGGTCCGGGATATATGGTGAATGCGGGGTCTGGGAGAGCGAATATAGTGAATGCGGGGTCTGGGGAGAGCGGATATAGTGAATGCGGGGTCCGGGGAGAGCGGATATAGTGAATGCGGGGTCCGGGGAGAGCGGATATAGTGAATGCGGGGTCCGGGGAGAGCGGATATAGTGAATGCGGGGTCCGGGGAGAGCGGATATGGTGAATGCGGGGTCCGGGGAGAGCGGATATATAGGTGAATGCGGGGTCCGGGGAGAGCGGATATAGTGAATGCGGGGTCCGGGGAGAGCGGAACAAACCAAGATAAAACAAATCAAAGTGCTCATTAATCCATATCCAAAATGTGTCGGATATCAGCGCAGACACCGATCAACTTAAAGTTCAAATAATTGTGCAGTCTATAGTGGTGTTGTGCAATCTTCTTTGAGAACCATAAAGTGCCCAAAATTTGTGTGTGGTGTTCCCCTCCTTTGTTCCCTCCTTTGTTCCCCTCCTTTGTTCCCCTCCTTTGTTCCCCTCCTTTGTTCCCCTCCTTTGTTCCCCTCCTTTGCTTCCCACCTTTGCTTCCTCCTTTTTTTCCCTCCTTTGCTCCCCTCTTTTGCTCCTTTTTGCTCCCCACCTTTGCTTCCCTCCTTTGCTTCCCTCCTTTGCTCCTTCCTTTGTTTCCCTCCTTTGTTTCCCTCCTTTGTTTCCCTCCTTTGTTCCCCTCCTTTGTTTCCCTCCTTTGTTTCCCTCCTTTGTTCCCTCCTTTGTTCTCCCTTTGCTTCCCTCCTTTGCTTCCCTCCTTTGCTCCCCATCTTTGCTCCCCTCCTTTGCTTCCCTCCTTTGCTTCCCTCCTTTGCTCCCCTCCTTTGTTCCCCTCCTTTGTTCCCCTCCTTTGTTCCCCTCCTTTGTTCCCCCTCCTTTGTTCCCCTCCTTTGCTTCCCACCTTTGCTTCCCTCCTTTGCTTCCCTCCTTTGTTTCCCTCCTTTGTTTCCCTCCTTTGTTCCCCTCCTTTGTTCCCCTCCTTTGTTCCCCTCCTTTGTTTCCTCCTTTGTTTCCCTCTTTGTTTCCCCCTTTGTTTCCCTTTTGTTTCCCTCCTTTGTTCCCCTCCTTTGTTCCCTCTTTGTTCCCCTCCTTTGTTCCCCTCCTTTGTTTCCCTCCTTTGTTTTTCCTCTTTGC